ATTTATTTTATCCCTTTAAAATACATAAAGAAAAATTTGTTAACTCTGTTCAAATCTTTTAATCCCTGATCCACAATATTTAGACCTTTTTGATTTAACATGTTCTAAGCAAGGTTTTTCATAGTTTATTTCTGTATTTTTTATATAAACAAAGTTTTGTAAATTAAAAACATTTTTATTTTAATGTTTTTTTTTTTCCTTTTTTAAAAGGATTTTTATACACTTAAGAATATACATGGTTCTAATGGGTTAAATATTGTAGTTTTGAAGTTTAAACAAGACACACAGAGATGAATGTCTTTATTAAAGATGTCAAAATCAAATAGGAATATATATTTAACTATCTTGGTAGTATAGTAATAGACAACATAAATATGAAATCAACCCAGAATAGTGAAAGATGCCTTACAAAAACTGAGCAAAATATTAAGGCACAGGAAAATGTTCTCAGAAACAAAGAAAAAAAAGAAGCACCAAATTGCTATGTAATATCTAATTTCCTATACAGCAGTGAATTCTGGACAATTTTCTCACAAAAGAGACTTGAAGTGACAGATGTGGTTCTTCCAATGAATGTCAAGAATATCAGTTTTTAAGTTTTAAGGAAAATAGGAACAACAAGGAAACTTATTATAACCAGGAAGAGACAAATGAAGTTTCTGGGGCACAAAAAAAAAGGGCCTAGGGAATTTAGAACTTACAGGAAAGAAAAACAGGAAGAAACAGTGAGTAGCCTACTTGAGTGAATGGATGGCAAAACAAAGATAAAGAAGGACTGTAAAGTCGTGAAAGTTACTTAGAGCAAAAGAGAGGAAGCTGTAGAGAACCATAATCGCCTATGTCCTGAAAATATATGGCACAGAGAAAAAGATACAAATAACCAATGCATAGTTCAAATGCAGTTTATCCCTGTAAATTTGATTTTCTTTTTATGTAGTAACATTTAAGATTTAGAAATCTTAATAGCTGAAAAGTTATTTTTGAAAAAAATCAAAACATCATTGAGATTTCGGCTCATCGATGAGTTAATTAAAACAGAAATACAATGGCAGGAAAAAAATTATTGCCATTCCACTTAATTTGATGATATTGGAAAAGAAAAATTCATATTGAAGAGAAATAGGTAAATTTTCATGATATATTAACAATTATTTATGTAGGTTTTCAGTTTGAAATAGGTTTAAGTAAAATTAAAATGAAACTGTAATAACAAGCTTAGGCTAAAACTTGATTTGAATATGACAGCTAAGTAGTAACTTTCCCAAGATACCATAAGAAAGAGAGGGAGAGAGGGGGAGGGAGGGGGAAAGGAAAGACGGGAGAGAGAGACGGGAGAGGAGGAGGGGGAAAGGAAAGGAAAGACGGGAGAGAGAGAGAGAGGGAGGGAGGGGGGAAAGGAAAGAGAGAGAGAGAGAGAGAGAGAGAGGAGGGGGAAAGGAAAGACGGGAGAGAGAGAGAGAGAGAGGAGGGGAGAGGGGGAAAGGAAAGACGGGAGAGAGAGAGAGAGGGAGGAGGGGGAAAGGAAAGACGGAGAGAGAGAGAGAGAGCCAGAGGAAAGGAGAGAGAGAGAGAGAGAGCCAGAGGAAAGGAAAGACGGGAGAGAGAGAGAGAGAGAGAGCCAGAGGAAAGGAAAGACGGGAGAGAGAGAGAGAGAGCCAGAGGAAAGGAAAGACGGGAGAGAGAGAGAGAGAGCCAGAGGAAAGGAAAGACGGAGAGAGAGAGAGAGCCAGAGGAAAGGAAAGACGGGAGAAAGAGAGAGAGAGAGAGAGAGAGAGAGGAGAGAAGGGAAAGACGGGAGAGAGAGAGAGAGAGCCAGAGGAAAGGGAAAGACGGGAGAGAGAGAGAGAGAGAGCCAGAGGAAAGGAAAGACGGGGAGAGAGAGAGAGAGAGCCAGAGGAAAGGAAAGACGGAGAGAGAGAGAGAGGCCAGAGGAAAGGGAAAGACGGGAGAGAGAGAGAGAGAGAGAGGAGAGGAAAGGAAAGACGGAGAGAGAGAGAGAGAGCCAGAGGAAAGGAAGGAAAGGGGGGAGAGAGAGAGAGAGAGCCAGAGGAAAGGGACGGGAGAGAGAGAGAGAGAGCCAGAGGAAAGGGAAAGACGGAGAGAGAGAGAGAGCCAGAGGAAAAGAGAAAGACGGAGGAGGAAAGACGGGAGAGAGAGAGAGCCAGAGGAAAGGGAAAAGAGAGAGGAGAGAGAGAGAGAGAGCTAGGGAGGAAAGAGGAAAGGAAAGACGGGAGAGAGAGAGAGAGAGAGCCAGAGGAAAGGAAAGACGGGAGAGAGAGAGAGAGAGCCAGAGGAGGAAAGAGAGAAAGACGGGAGAGAGAGAGAGAGAGCCAGAGGAAAGGAAAGACGGGAGAGAGAGAGAGAGAGCCAGAAAGGAAGTGAAAGACGGGAGAGAGAGAGAGAGAGCCAGAGGAAAGGAAAAGACGGGAGAGAGAGAGAGAGCCAGAGGAAAGGAAAGACGGGAGAGAGAGAGAGAGAGAGCCAGAGGAAAGGAAAGACGGGAGAGAGAGAGAGAGAGAGCCAGAGGAAAGGAAAGACGGGAGAGAGAGAGAGAGAGCCAGAGGAAAGGAAAGACGGGAGAGAGAGAGAGAGAGCCAGAGGAAAGGAAAGACGGGAGAGAGAGAGAGAGAGCCAGAGGAAAGGAAAGACGGGAGAGAGAGAGAGAGCCAGAGGAAAGGAAAGACGGGAGAGAGAGAGAGAGAGAGAGGGAAAAGGGAGAGAGAGAGGGAGAGAGAGAGAGAGAGAGAGAGAGAGAGGAAAGGAAAGAACGGGAGAGAGAGAGAGAGAGCCAGGAGGAAAGGAAAGATGGGAGAGAGAGAGAGAGAGAGGAGAGGAAAGGGGAAAGACGAGAGAGAGAGAGAGAGGGACAGAGGAAAGAGAAAGAAGGGATGGAGAGAGAGAGAGAGAGAGAGGAAAGGAAAGACGGGGGAGAGAGAGAGAGAGAGAGCGGGAGAGAGAGAGAGAGGAAAGGGAAAGACGGGAGAGAGAGAGAGAGAGCCAGAGGAAAGGAAAGACGGGAGAGAGAGAGAGAGAGCCAGAGGAAAGGGAACGGGACGGGAGAGAGAGAGAGAGAGCCAGAGGAAAGGAAAGACGGAGAGAGAGAGAGAGAGAGAGCCAGAGGAAAAGGAAAGACGGGAGAGAGAGAGAGAGAGAGAGAAAGGGAAAGAAAGAGGGAGAGGAGAGAGAGAGAGAGAGAGAGAGGAAAGGGAAAACGGAGAGAGAGAGAGAGAGAGCCAGAGGAAAGGGAAAGACGTGGAAAGAGAGGAGAGAGAGAGAGACGGAGAGAGAGAAGAGAAAGAGGAACGGGACGGGAGAGAGAGAGAGAGAGAGAGGTGAAAGGAAAGACGGGAGAGAGAGAGAGAGCCAGAGGAAAGGAAAGACGGGAGAGAGAGAGAGAGAAAGGAAGAGGAAAGGAAAGAGAGTGGGAGAGAGAGAGAGAGAGAGAGAGGAAAGGAAAGACGGGAGAGAGAGAGAGAGAGCGGAGAGGAAAGGGGAAAGACGGGGAGAGAGAGAGAGAGAGAGAGAGAGAACGGGAAAGAGAAAGAGAGGAAAGGGAAAGAGAGAGAGAGAGAGAGAGCCAGAGGAAAGGAAAGACGGAGAGAGAGAGAGAGAGCGAGGAAAAAGAGAAAGACGGGGAGAGAGAGAGAGAGAGCCAGAGGAAAGGAAAGACGGAGAGAGAGAGAGAGAGAGAGAGGAAAGGAAAGACGGGAGAGAGAGAGAGAGAGCCAGAGGAAAGGAAAGACGGGAGAGAGAGAGAGAGAGCCAGAGGAAAGGAAAGACGGGAGAGAGAGAGAGAGAGAGAGAGAAAGGAAAGACGGGAGAGAGAGAGAGAGAGAGGAACGGGAAAGACGGAGAGAGAGAGAGAGAGAGAGAGAGCGGAAAGACGGGAGAGAGAGAGAGAGAGAGAGAGGAAAGGAAAGACGGGAGAGAGAGAGAGAGAGCCAGAGGAAAACGGAGAGGGAAAGACAGGGAGAGGAGAGAGAGAGAGAGCCAGAGGAAAGGAAAGACGGGAGAGAGAGAGAGAGAGCTAGAGGAAAGGGAAAGACGGGAGAGAGAGAGAGAGAGCCAGAGAAAGGAAAGACGGAGAGAGAGAGAGAGAGCCAGAGAAAGGGAAAGACGGGAGAGAGAGAGAGAGAGAGAGAAAGGAAAAAGACGGAGAGAGAGAGAGAAGAGGAAAGGAAAGACGGGAGAGAGAGAGAGAGAGAGAGGAAAGGAAAGACGGGAGAGAGAGAGAGAGAGAGCCAGAGGAAAGGAAAGACGAGAGAGAGAGAGAGAGAGCCAGAGGAAGGGAAAGACGGGAGAGAGAGAGAGAGAGAGGGAAAGGAAAGACGGAGAGAGAGAGAGAGAGAGAAGAGGAAAGGGAAAGACGGGAGAGAGAGAGAGAGAGCCAGAGGAAAGGAAAGACGGGAGAGAGAGAGAGAGAGCCAGAGGAGGGAAAGACGGGGAGAGAGAGAGAGAGCTAGAGGAAAAGGAAAGACGGGAGAGAGAGAGAGAGCCAGAGGAAAGGAAAGACGGGGAGAGAGAGAGAGAGCCAGAGGAAAGGAAAGACGGGAGAGAGAGAGAGAGAGCTAGAGGAAAGGAAAGAGAGAGAGAGAGAGAGAGAAAGGAAAAGACGGGAGAGAGAGAGAGAGAAAGGAAAGACGGGGAGAGAGAGAGAGAGCAGAGGAAAGGAAAGACGGAGAGAGAGAGAGAGAGGAAAGGGAAAGAGAGAGCCAGAGGAAAGGAAAGAGAGAGAGAGAGCTAGAGGAAAGGGAAAGACGGGAGAGAGAGAGAGAGAGAGGAGAGGAAACGGGGGAAAGAGAGGGAGAGGAGAGAGAGAGAGCCAGAGAGGAAAGGAAAGACGGGAGAGAGAGAGAGAGAGAGCCAGAGGGAAAGGAAAGACTGAGTGGGAGAGAGAGAGAGAGAGAGGAAAGGAAAGACGGAGAGAGAGAGAGAGAGCCAGAGGAAAGGAAAGACGGGAGAGAGAGAGAGAGAGAGAGAAAGGAAAGACGGGAGAGAGAGAGAGAGAGCCTGAGGGGAAAGACGGGAGAGAGAGAGAGAGAGGAAAGGAAAGACGGGAGAGAAAGAGGAAAGAGGGGGAAAAGAGAGAGAGAGAGAGCCAGAGGAAAGGAAAGACGGGAGAGAGAGAGAGAGAGCCAGAGGAAAGGGAAAGACGGGAGAGAGAGAGAGAGCCAGAGGAAAGGAAAGACGGGAGAGAGAGAGAGAGCAGAGGAAAGGAAAGACGGAGAGAGAGAGAGAAGAGGAAAGGAAAGACGGGAGAGAGAGAGAGAGCCAGAGAAAGGAAAGACGGGAGAGAGAGAGAGAGAGCCAGAGGAAAGGAAAGACGGAGAGAGAGAGAGAGAGCCAGAGGAAAGGAAAGACGGAGAGAGAGAGAGAGCAGAGGAAAGGAAAGACGGAGAGAGAGAGAGAGAAAGGAAAGACGGGGAGAGAGAGAGAGAGAGCCAGAGGAAAGGGAAAGACGGGAGAGAGAGAGAGAGCCAGAGGAAAGGAAAGACGGGAGAGAGAGAGAGAGCCAGAGGAAAGGAAAGACGGAGAGAGAGAGAGAGAGCCAGAGGAAAGAAAGACGGGAGGAGAGAGAGAGAGAGAGCCAGAGAAAGGAAAGACGGGAGAGAGAGAGAGAGCCAGAGGAAAGGAAAAGGGAAAGACGGGAGAGAGAGAGAGAGAGAGAGAGAGGAAAGGAAAGGAAAGACGGGAGAGAGAGAGAGAGAGCCAGAGGAAAGATGGAAGAGAGAGAGAGCCGGGAGAGAGAGAGAGAGAGCCAGAGGAAAGGAAAGACGGGAGAGAGAGAGAGAGAGAGCTAGAGAAAGGAAAGACGGGGAGAGAGAGAGAGAGAGCCAGAGGAAAGGAAAGACGGAGAGAGAGAGAGAGAGAGGAAAGGAAAGAAGGGAGAGAGAGAGAGAGCCAGAGGAAAGGAAAGACGGGAGAGAGAGAGAGCCAGAGACGGAGGAAAGGAAAAGATGGGGAGAGAGAGAGAGCCAGAGGAAAGGAAAGGAGGGAGAGAGAGAGAAAGGAAAGAGAGAGAAGAGGAAGGAAAGGGAGAGAGAGAGAGAGAGCCAGAGGAAAGGAAAGACGGGAGAGAGAGAGAGAGCCAGAGGAAAGGAAAGACGGGAGAGAGAGAGAGAGCCAGAGGAAAGGAAAGACGGGAGAGAGAGAGAGAGCCAGAGGAAAGGAAAGACGGGAGAGAGAGTGAGAGGAAAGGAAAGATATAAATGAAAAGGAGAAAACGAATAAAGAAAAAAAGATGACAGAACAAGCTGAAAGATGACGAAAAGAGAAGACAATCTTACCCATGAGCTGCATTTGCTTTATCAATGATCCGCTGAACTGAAACCTCAGCACGTCCTAAAAAACGGATTATGGTTGGGCGACTCTTGGCGAATTTATCTTTAACTTCAAATTCAATTGTATCAGAAGCAATGGCGTCCAAGGTAAAAACCTAAAAGACAAAGAAACAACATTGTAAAACTCTAAAATCCCAATAACTGTAAGATACAAACATTGAGTTCTTTTCCATTATCAAATCAGATAATTTATATATTTCCAATAAAAAGAAAATTACAAGAAAGTTTTCTATATACATGCAAAAATTTCTGGACAGTAGAGTTTTAAAATGTAAGTTCAAAGACAAGTTTCTCAATTATAATTCAAAGTTAGCAGGAAAGACCTGGACAGCCTCACTTTTTTTTTTTTTTTTTTTTTTTTTTTTATAAACACTTCCTGTCAGCACTAATTAAAAAGATACTTGTTCCTGGCAATATAAGGCTTTATGCATGAACCCAGCTATTTTAATCCATTTCTAAGGTTGGGTTTTTGGTCAATGGCAGGACAGTTTCAATAGCTTTACTTTAATAGATGTTAATTTTAATCCCTTTTAATGACCCATCCTACCATCAGTGACTGAAGCTCATAAAGAAGGAAAATGTATCAGATCTCAGGACAGTATTGCATTGGAGATTAAAGAAAAAAGTTTTTCCAAATATAATTTTACTCTAACTTGAAGTTTTTTAAGACAATATTCTTAGAAAAAAAGAATGCAAGATTGATTTCCTTGTTCAAAATATTTTACAATATGTAAAAGCTATTTCCTAATGTTGCAATGGAAGAGAATAAAAATGGTAATAAAAGAAGCATTTTAAATTCTGAGGTCACAAGTGAAAAGTCATTTAAGTGGCAATAGTTAAATTTGTCATCAAAGTTTACAGTTCGAATGTTGAATTGAAGACAGATCAACATGTATGCTCAACACAACCACATACTATAATAAAATGCAAAAATGCAAATGTTTTTAAAAACTTTATGAAAATTTAAAATGAATTCAGCTTTCAAAACATTATATCCAAAGTTAGTAAATACAGCATTTCAAAAAAAAAAAAAAAAAAAAAAAAATGCAAATTAAAAAGCAAGACCTTTAGAATTTATTTTTTATGATGCAAATAAAAAAAATTTGATTTTAGTTTTTCACCAAAACACATTTCTCTCTGATTTGGTAATGTTTGTTGAAGATTAAAATACACATGTAAGAGAAATTGTCTATCATCATAAAAGTGAAGACAGTAATACAAACATAGAACAGGAGTTAATTACAATTTGTATATTAAAGTAATTGATCTCATCTTGTAAAATGGGTTAAGAGCAATCAATGGTTCAGTATAATGTAAACTTTAAAAAAAAAAAAAAAAAAAAAAAAGCTAGGAATGAGTAGTTGATACTTTTCTTTCTATCAATGAATATTATTTATGTAATATTAAGCAGCTACTCTATAGCATTCAATATGGTTATCTTATGCAAATAGTGTAAATTTTGGAATTGAAATGATCATGACCTTATAAAATGTTAAAAAAAAGTTTGAAGGTTCAGAAGATATTTCATATTAAATGTTTATAAATTATGATTTTTTACTTTTTCTTTAAGTGGTGGTGGCGGTGGGGTTTAGAAAGTACTACCAGAATGACTCTGAAATGTGCATGAACATTAATTAGAGAAAAATTACTCAAAATGTTGTGGCTTCTGTTTCTTCCTTCACTGAGCATTCCTGTTAATATGGCTTACACTGGGGATCAAGTGCTAGCAAGTCTCCACAATATTCACACACTCTCCTCACTATTCTAGCTGTTTTTAGTAATGATATCATGTAGATGGTCCTGGATGCTTCAATGACTCCAGCCTTTTCCCTAGACTTTTAATGTTCACCTGATGAAAGGCTCAAGATGACCTCAAAGTAGTTACTAAATGTACTTGAACATTAGAGAAAAATTACACAAGAGAAATGCTGCTGCTTCTGTTTCCTCTTTCATTGAGCTTTCCAGTTAATACTAACTGATGGCTTACATTGGAGATCAAGTGCCAGCAAACATCCCCAATATTCACACACCCTCTTCACTATTCTAGCTGTTTTTAGGTTCGACACCTTCCTTTGATTTCCACTTCCTCCTACCCTTTTCTTACATTCTTTGAGACTGTTCCCAACACTGATAACAGCTAGCACAACTGTCAGCTTATTTAGCTCTCTGGCAAAGTTGAGATACATACCTAAATTTGATTCAAATCTACTGTGCTCTGCAAGTACAGTTAAATCCACTATCTGGCTTATTTCTTTTTGTTGATTACTACATCTACACTTCTGGCTTGGACATATACCATTGATCGGTGCTCAAAATGCAATTACTTGCATAGTTCTTGGTGAACCACCTTTCCTATTCATTCATGCCCATTCTTGTATTCTTTCTGAGCTAATGTACTAATTTTGTGTTAGATGTCTCAGCTTTATTATTACCTATAATATGATTATTCATGAAAAACAGTCCATTAAAACTCTTCCCAATCCAATGTGTTTATTCTTGCTTGGTGTTGCTCCCAAACAACATTCTCAATTTAATCATGAAATAAGAAAACAAAAAAAAAAAAGAAGAAATTCCTAAATCAGACATATTCATCTATTTTCAGCTTATTTCTGTTAGTTTTGGGAGTTATTTTCTTATCCCTCTTATTTGTGTAAGCAGTCATATTTAAAAATAAAAAAAAGGCCCTGTAAGAAGTGTAAATGCATCAGTTACTTACCACTGTTTGTAATTAGTCAATGAATGAATATATATATATGTATATACACACACGTTTTGCAGATGCTCACAAGTGAATACAATAAGATTTGCAGAATTGCTACCAATCACATAAAAATTGGAAAAGTGTTTTATGAAAGAAGATATCTATGTCAGTGTGTATATATATATATATATATATATATATATATATATATATATATATATCTGTACTCTAAACATATAAACAATTAAAATACTAAGTAAAAAATATGTAATTTTTGTCACAACGCCAGATTCATACAGCATTGAGGAAGATTTTATAATAATGGCTTTCAAACACATGTTTGCTGAATGGCAGATTATATATTCTTATATCCTAAATATATTCCACAGATTTCTAAACTCAAACCTGGTTAAGCTTGCTATAACATTTTTTTTATCAAGAAAACAAACTTGAAATGAAGAAGATAAAACATCTAAAGTGCTGACTGTTGCATTCATGATATCAGCAAAAAGCAAGTGTTGTAAATAATCATCGCATCATTCACGTCTACAGTAACAGTTTAATGGTTAGTGTCTTATTCAAGGTCAACATGTTTATAGTTTAATTCCAAAAAGGCCTAATAAAGTTTGCTAAGTTGTAATTTACCCAGCATAGAGCTACAATTTTCTCTTGACATGTGGAGTGTTTACTACAAAATTATAACTCCACCTTTGTCTATGTCTAAACCTTGAGCGGTGTCATCTGAAGGAGAAAATTCTTTTAAAACTGGAAATTAGTTTTCTTTGTTCACCAAGTCAACCATTCTTTTTGGGAACAGGTGTTTTGAATAGATTTTCCAATAAGAAATAGTTACCTTATCAGGTGAGATACCTTTGTTTGTTAATGCTTTATTTTAACTGTACAATAAAAACCTGATTACTGTTACTAATTAAACAATGTCTCAATTAATTTTTAACAAAAGAAAAAATCTATTACATCAATTTTCTTTTTATGTTATACAAAAATGTGACTTATTTCAGTTAATATAGAGAACAAACTTACTAAGAGAAGGAATTTTATTTTGTTAGGATATTATAAATATGATTAATAAGTTAAATCTTCTCAAAATGAGGTATTGTAACTATTTACATTGTTTGAACTGTTGTCCTCATCTTTATTGCTATATTGTTTAACATTTCCACCATTGTACATTCCGGCCTTTTTCAGGTGATACATGTTGGAATTTCCAACTGAAACCTTTAGTCCACTGGGGCAAACTTTGTATAAGAAAAATATCTGGACTGGTGCTATAAAGAGAAAATTGTAACACGTATCAACTTGGCATTTAATCTCCTTCAAAGTAGTACCCCTTCTGAAACTACACACTTTATCCAGCATTGTTTCCATTGATGGAAGCATTCTGAGAGCTCCTTTTTTGGGGATAGCAAGAATCTGCCTTGTTACAGTCTATTGTATTTCATAGATGTCTTGAAATCTCATTCAAGTGGGATTTGATTTTTGGTAAGAGGAAAAAGTCACAAGGGGTGAGATCTGAGGAATAAGGTGGTAGCTGGACACAAGGAATGAGGTGCTTGACCAAAACCTGCTGCACAAGCTGTGCTGAATGGACAGGTTTATTGTCATTATGGAGTTGCCACTAACTGAACACATGCAATTCTGTCCTTTTCCAATTGACAGCATTCCAGAAATGCTACAATACATCCTTGTAGTACTCCTTGTTTACTGTCTGATCAAGTGAAGCATACGCATGATGAACAATTCCGTTGTAGTTGAAGAAAACTGCTTAGACTCATTTTTTCTTTGGCCTTGAAGAGATTTGGGGTGGGGGTGGATTAAATCATTAGTTGATGGCTGAAAACCAAAGCTCAGTCTTTGCTGCACAATTTTCTTTGCCATGGAACCTCTGTGATGTGGTGAGATGACCACACTCTACACACTTTCCTTCCAAGCATGGCTATGAACAACAGAAGTGATTGAGAACATAACTTAATGTGCATGCACAACAGAATTCAAGGTCAATATGTGCCAAGTGGCTTCACACTGTGTATTTTAGTTCCATTACCGTAGCAACAGTCCCAATACTTTTTTTTTTTTTTTAAATCAAACATTATATCTATAACAAATTAGACAACTAGTCTTAAGAATCATTCATAAATTGACATTGAACTTTGTTTAGGGTAAGATTATATATTGACATCCCTGGTACAAAATTTTAAAAAGGGAGATCTGGATTTTAATTGGTATAAATGCATTTTATTTACCAAAAATTTATCACAAGTCTACCATTTAAGTTTTTCTACAATACATTTTGTATTGAAACAAACCATAAACATATCTACACACACACACACACACACACACACACACACACACACACACAATGATGGTTACATA